AGAGATTCTGTAAAAGTCCTTGTTTCTTTGGGTTGACTTTCCTGAAAGGTGACTGGCCCTGCTTAGAGTGTTGAAGAAGCCCTGGAAGCCGCTTCATGTGCTATCCTCCTCTGTCCACCTAGGGGCAAGGCTAGTCCGGAGTCAGTGTTCCCTCTAAGCTGAGCTAGCTCACAGTTCTTTAGCCTCTGGCTCACACGTTTTTGCCTTCGCTCAGGAAGGAGGGCTCCAGAGCAAACTGATTGATGCAGTAGCCAAATCGCTCGCTCACAACTTTAAGGCCAGTATCTCACAAAGCAGCATTTTTGCTCACAAGACTCAACAGCTTAGAGGGAGCATCGGTCCGGTCGAAATGGTTTCAGAGGGCAGCAATGTGTTTATTACTCCGGCGGAGCTACCTCTGCCCTTTTCCAGATAGACAATGTTTGTTTGGATATATAGATTCATCCCATACATAGGTAAGGTAGGGCCAGTGGACACCCCCCCACCCAATACGATGCCCTGAAAGTCCAAATGAATTAGTAGGAGTAGCAATAGTGCAGTTAAGTTGCTGCTTTCATGTACTGCTTCTTTCTCATCTCTAGTTCAGCACTGCAGCATAGAAATCAGATCTTGTGGGCAGGAGAGTACAATCCTGTGCAGATTTACTGCAGTCTAAATCCATTGAAATCAATGGCTTGAAGTAACTACTTAAGGTTGTGCTGGACATCAGTTATATTTAGGATTGAGGTGTTTGAGCCATGAATGCTTTTCGGAACAGAGGGGGAGTGTGGGACCACTGCAGGAATTATCGTATAGAATCTCATGATGTGGGGTTATTTTCCTTGCAATATTATTAAAATCTGTGCTTTAATGATTGGTTATTGTTAGTATTATTTTTTGACCTAGGTATGTTAACCATTGGGGTTTAATTGATTGCAGTGGAACAGACTTCCAGATGAGTGCCTTATATAGTGCAAACATAATGCAGGATTCTCCCGTCTAAGACCGTTGATCCCAGTGAAACTTTGCGTGGGATTGTGCTTTCAGGTGCCTAGTTTGGAGGGCAAGGGAAATACAGTTGCAGTGTGCAGCTTGATCCCGTGCAGTTCCATTTCTTGGAAGTCAGTCCCTCTGAGTTCAGTTGGGCTTGCTTAGTTGAGTGTGTGTACAGAATTGCTGCCTAATGTTGCAATCATGTGCATGCTTACTTGAGAGTAGATTCCATTAGACAAACCGGGGCATAACGATGAATGCACTTTCAGAACCCTTCCAGCTCAATTCTGTATTATTTTTGCCACTGTTAGGATCTCTAAGTCTGATGGGACTCCCTGTAGTGGCAAGACCCCAGAGAAAGATGGAGCCTTTAGTTCCCCTTTCATAGGATTTGTTAGATTTAGGCCGGGATTTTATAAGGGAGGACATCTCACTATACAATATTTGTTTGTACTGGCTGCTTGTCCTGTATCATTAACGGTTTGCTTTTCCCCTCCCTTGTTTCCAGAAGACTGTACCTCTGGATGACAAACCAAATCGAGTGTCTTGGATTGTACCAGGATGGGATACCAATGAAGGAAAGCAACAAAAGATGGTAGCAATAAGATCGTCTCTTCCAGGTCTGATGAAGTAGCTGAGAAGAGGGCAAGGTTCCTCCGAGCGGCATTTATAAGCCAAAGACTTTTCTTTTTTTGGGGAAAAAAAAAGATTTAGGGCAAAGTTGTGGCTGTGTCTTGCAGGATGCCCAGCTGTGCAAAATGTTCTCATTCTCTATATGGGATGCAAAGAAGATGCAGCAACTGCAGCTGAAATACCAGTTTAAATTATTTGTAATATCTACATTTGTATTTATTTTGATAAATCTTTAAGCAGATGTATGTCTTAATATTGCTACTTCCGTTTTAAATGTGTCCATTCCAAATAAAATACTTTTTTTAATGACCTAAGTGAAACTGGTTTTCTTTATTGGTAGGGAAAAGAACAACCATTGCTAGTTTGCTGTGTTGACCAAAAATCTATACATTTGGCCTTGCGAGGATTCAATAAATAGGCCTGTGGTGCCTTCAAAACAGCACCCATTTCTGACCCCTTTCACTATCATGTTGAATGGGATTGAAAGGCTATCCAGGTCAAGATACACTGTCATTCCTGACCCTCCCCAACTGTTAAACATGCCTAAAGAGGAGTCTTGTAGCATTTAAAGGCTTTTAACAAGCAGAAACTTCCGTGTACAAGAACCTTCTTTGTCAGATACAAGTAATGGGTCCTTATAGGACAGATACCTTTATATATGAGGTTACTAGCCTGATACCCGTGCTTCTCTACAGTATTTAAGTTCCGTAAATCCAGTTATAATACTGATGATGTGAAGTTTGAAATGTAACATTTGTTGTAGGAATTCTAATGGAGAAGATTGTAATGTAAGAAATGAAGTGAGACATATGTACTGTCCCCCGCCCCCAAGGACATCTCTCTGATTGCCATGCTGGCTGTCATGAAAAATGTCTACTCAGGAGTCTTGAATTGCTGATTTCTGTAACTGTCTTCAACGGTCTTCAGTCTCTCTTAACTGTGTTTTTACCTCAGAACACTGAGATCCACAGCTGAACAATCAGAGGGAGGTGAGTGTGAGCAGACAGGTTTTACCTCAGAACTCTGAGCTACATAGTTGACAAATGGGGGTGGGCCAAGGACACAGCAACCTGCCAGGCACATAGAAAACAATTGGGGGAACACATTTTACCCCTTATTTTTACCCACTTAGGGATCGTGTTTCTCAGAAATTTCTTTGTAGTGGGGGCTGACGTCATGGTAGGAGTGCACTCCCCTTATTTTGGGTTTCTTGGTGCAGGGGTTTGACCTGGGCATTGAATTTTAGAGAGGACAGTGATGGTTCCAGCTTGGCTGGCACCCTTCTTGTTCCCTGTTGTTTACATATATTTTGCCCTCCTCCCCCATGTCCATGAAGTAGCTGGCAGTGGGAGTTGGAATGAGGATTGGTTATTTGCCATCTGATTGCCTTTAAGGTTGTACTAATGTTTTAAATTAATTTTATCTTAATTTACCTCTTGTTGTACATTGCTCAGAGCCCTGCAGTAGCAGGGATGGGGCAATTCAAAAATATAACAAATAATAATAAATAATTTGGGGTGTGCAGGGCATATCTTTTTTTCTTTACAAAAATGCTTCTCATTTATGTTACATTTAAGAAGTGGGACATATACATATTCAAAACAACATCTGAGTTCATATGAACCAATTTTCCAGAACCAACATTGTGAGAAGTTAAATAACCTGATACAGGAAACCACTTTTCTACAAATTTGGGGTATATTTCCATAGTGGGTGGGAGTGTGGCTAAAGGGCGGACTTCCTGATGGATTAAAGCGCCCTGCACCTGACCAACACTTGCCTGTCTGATATAAGGATATAAAGCCTCCCTGATGGCTTTACGGACTCTGCGCCCCTTCCAACCCATGACAAGTGGTTGTCCGTCAGGTGGAAGAGGAGTAGCATGTCTGAAGGCATTGGGGAGGTTGGACCAGCAAGATTGCTAAGTCGATGCTGCTTGGGCACCCTCCCTGATGGCTTTCAATGCTCTGCTCCTGCTCTTGCACCTGACTGACAACAATCTGTCAGTTGGAGGAAGGGTGGGTGGGAGTGTGTCTAAAGCCTTTGGGGAGGCTGGCCCAGCAGCATTGCTAAGGTGTTTCTGCTTGGGCAGCCTCTCTGACGGATTAAAATACCCTGGCCGTGCTCCTACACCTGACAGACCCCTGCCTGTCTGGTGTTGGGGGGAGTGTGTTTAAAGGCATTGGGGTGGCTGGGCCAGCAGCAGCACTAAGTAATCCTGCTGAGCAAGCCTCCCTGACAGCTGTAAGCATCCCACCCCCTCTCCTACACCTGACAGGCAACTGCCTGTCCAGTGTAGGGGGGAGGGGTATTGCAAGCCATTGTGGAGGCTAGGCCAGCAGGATTGCTAAGGCATTACTGCTGGTGTGGGATTCCTGATGGCTTTAAGCACCCTGCACCCTGTGCTGCACCTGACAGCCACCTGTTTGAAGTCATCAGGGAGGCTGGGCCAGAAGCACTTGCACCTCACAGGTGGTTGGCCATTCCTGATTTCTTCAACTGTTGTTAGCTCTCTGCAGTCTCCTGTAACTGTTTTTACCTCAGAACACTGAGGTGCAGCTGA